CTGAATATCTCCCCATATTAAAAAAAAAAGAAAACTTTCTAGAGGTAGAAAACGAACACTTTGAGGACAAAGGTTCATATCCCATCCGTTCCCTGTTGTGTGCGTATCCTGTACAAAATTGCATCTGTGGCTCCTTGACCTCAGCGCTGATCAGAACCTACTAGGGAAGGGCTCTGTGCCCATGGGGCTTGTAGCCAGCAGTGAACAGACAGAGAGTTCCAGGCAAGGATCCTTTAAATGAAATAAAGTTTGATTGAAAACAGTTTTGCATCCCAGGCTAGCCTTATTCACACTTCACTCTCACCCCCAAATTTAGCCAAACCCAAGCAGGAGAGCTCTGTTGATGTAGAACTGTGCCCTGGCATGTCTCAGTCCCGTCCTTCGTAGGGGAGATGATGTCACAATATCTTTGCCCTGCCTCTGCTCTTTTGCACCCTTACTCTCCAAAATGCTTGTTTGTCTAGTTCTTATTTGGTACCAGATGTTCCTTGTTGACATCTTTGTTGCCTTTTTACCAGGCCCATCTGCTCCGACTGCCTCTGCTGTTTCACAGCCAGTTTCCCTTATCTCACAACACTAGTTGTTGAGGGGTGAAGGAAGAGACTGACTTCACTGAGAGGTTCAAGTATGAATCATATGTATTGGGATGACACCAAACTATAAACAGTTTGGTGCCATCCCAATATATGTGATTCATGCTTGAACCTCTCAGGACCAGGGGAGGGCAGCCTTTATCTTGGCCTTTGCAACACTTCTGCTGTACACACACACACACATTTCTTTTTTAAAAATAAATTGTTTTATTAGTTTCAAGAGTAAAAAAATATAGACAAAGACAAAAAGAAAGAAACAACACAAAACATAGACAAGAAATATAAAACAGTAAACATACATTGGTGCTTATACTCTAGTCTCTGGTTTGATTTCACATGTTATATTCAAATCTTATACTGATGCACCTAAATTAGTTAAAATATTTTATTTCTTGAAGTTGTCACATCAGTCTTCCAAGATAGTTTTCTATCCAATTGTATAACCTCACCCATTTTTTTTTCAAAAGTTTCTTCTTTTTTATCTTGTGATTGCAAGGTTAAATTGTCCATTTCTGCTGCTTCTAGCAGTTTATAAATCATTTCTTAAGACCAGGGAGGGTCAAACGATTCTGAGACCCGACCGTAGTGCTCTCTGGGGTATATATGGGGAAAGGCGGTCCCTCAGGTATGCCAGACCCTGGCCATATAGGGCTTTATAGATAAGTACCAGCACCTTGAAGCGAATTCGGTATGCTATTAGCAGCCAGTGCAGTGTCCTCAGCACAGGCTGGATGTGCTCCCATCTCAGGAGGCCCATCAAAAGCCTGGCTGCTGCATTCTGTACTAGCTGCAGCTTCCGAATTTGCGACACAGGCAGCCCCATGTAGAGAGCGCTACAGTAGTCCAGTATCGAGGTGACTATCGCATGGATCTTTGTGGCCAGGTCATTGTGGTCCATTGTCAAGGTGGTATCCAGGCGCACTCCCAAACTCCCAGCCTCCAGCGCCAGCACCAGTAGTACCCCATCGAAGGTCTGGAGCTGGGTCCCCACCCCAGAGCCACCCCGACTCAAGCACAGGACCTCCGTCTTCACCGGATTCAATTTCAGTCGACTCTGGCTAAGCCAACCAACCACGGCTTGTAAAGCCCAGTCCAGATCTTCCGGTCTGGAGTCTGACTGGCCGCCCAACATCAGATAGAGTTGGGTGTCATCAGCGTACTGGTGACATCCCAGCCCACACCTCCGGGCAATCTGGGCCAGGGGGCGCATATAGATGTTGAATAACATCGGGGAGAGCACTGCCCCTTGAGGCACCCCACACACCAGTGGGTGCCTCTTGGACTGCTGCTCCCCTAGCTACAACTTGACAGCACTTTCCATCACCACCAAACATAGCTTAAGAAATGATCAGTGCTGAATACAGAGAAGGTTTCAGGGACAGTTGCAACGTCGGTTCCTGCAGATACAGAAACAGGTACACAAGCATTTAATGAAGAATTTCATACAGCATAAACTATCAGTGACCAGTATTAGCTACAGAATCTATATGGGTATCTGACACTAGTTCCTACATGAAGAGATACTACACAGGGGAGACAACTGAAATAAGGTCATCAACCCACAGTCTGAAATGGTACTTCCACTTTACCACTGCAGAAGACTTCTCCCTTATTCTGTTACGAGTGTAGGCCCGGAAGAATTAGCTTTTCTCAGACAGGAAACCACGTTATGGGCTTTGACAATTCTTCTTCCCTGTCTTGAGTTCTCTTTTCATCTCTCCTTTCCCAAACCCCCTTCTCCTGCTCCCACCATCTTTCTCTCACTGCACTAAAGGATATGTTCATGCCCTGCAGCTGAAGCAAAGGCTATTTTTCATTTAAGACCCCCCCTCATAAATTTTAGATGGTGTGGTAGTAACAAGAATTGCCAGGGCTGGCCCTTATTTAAGCAGCAGGGGGTCTGAAGCCGCAGGCAGCATTTCCTCAATAAAACCTTCAGACTCTAATCAGCCAACACCTCTCTTGCTGCCAGTGTTAGAATCGTAGAGCTCTTTCCACCTTCCTTTCCCTCTTTCTTCATCTTGCTGCCTGCAATATTCACAGCTCCCCCCCCCCATCCCCACCTACACGAGCCACATATTGGGTGGGGGAACCAGAACCTTTGTTGTTAGTTTTTACACCCCTTGCCTCTGATTCACTTCTCCATAATGCCCTTGGCTAATCAGGTAGCCCTTTGATTTGCTGAAAAATGACTTCAGTGCCTCAGTAGACTGACAGGAAATTAATGTTTTAACCTGACAAGAAAGTATTTATAAAAACAATGTCGCTGTTGTGTGTGTATGGTGTGCTCCCAGGCAAGCAATCTAGAAGCTGTTGTTGCCCCTGGGATAGGTGGTATAAAAGGACTGCAGCCTTGTACTGGTGATAAATTAAGTGTCTGCTTTAAAATTTTATATACGGTGCTCTTGGGAACGCTTTTTGGAGCCATCGTGCAAGTTCACACAAAATGAAATATGATGCTGGAACTGGTGCCTGGTCCTGCTTATGAGCTTGGCTCTGGGGATAAAATATGTTAATAATCTTTTCCATCATGTTTCTAGGACTGTGTGCTCGCAGGATGCCAACTTGAAGTTGGAAGAGATCCAGAGAAAAAGTAGAAGATAGTTGCCTGCTGGAAAGATGCATCCCCTTTTAGACTGTTAAAAGTCTGGGATGTTTGGGATAGGATTTGAGCAACTACTTTAGTATTGATGATGAACTTGGAAATTAATAGCTAGTTGACTTATAACAATGTATATATTTAATTACGTATTATTTTTCAAATATGAAGCAGCTTACTGTTCACTGGAACTCATGTTATTATTTTTACAATATGTTCTTTTGTAAGTGTTAATACTGCAAGTGAAAACCTATAACTATAGTCTTAAATCCTGAAATACAGCTTAAAAGTTATTATTTAAAAGGTGAAATAATGTTTGTGTATGTGTGGTTTAAAAACGCAGTCTTTAGATGCTGAATGTTATCATCTGTAAAAGGGATAGGCTTTATATTTTCTCTAGGATGTTGTTTCTGGAAGTGAGAATATGGTATTTTTTAATATTTTTCCTTGTTAAAGTATCTGAGCACTATCTAATTAGTATCTAGTGCATGCTTATATCATTCTTTTCTGTCTCCGCTTAATTTCTGGGTAATTTCTTTTCAAAACTTCTTTTCTTTCTTGTTTTTCTTCTTTCTTACTAGTATTTTTTTTACTTTATGAAAAAGAGCCCAAGGGCTAAGGAAATCTCTTCATTTGTCTATGTGATTAAACCAAAATATTGTTTTCTAACTACAGCCAAAAGTAGTAATAGAACTTGGCAAAACAAGCTAGTTAAACTGAACTTGATTGAACGTGTTCTTATTTTATCTCCTGAAAATATCGTTAGAAGAGTCTTTTAGTATGGCATGTTGTTTGCTAGAATATTTCAGTTGTGTTGGGTAGAACTGATGCAACAAGAGCTGTGTCCATGTTCATGTGTCAGCTTTTCTGCAAATGAAAGAGAAGCTGTAGATTCTGGAGAGGGGGAGAGTTGTTATGATCTCCACCATGTGACTATAGTGTGTGGGTTATCCCTCTGTTTTCCCATGCATGCAGTTCGGTTGGTGACAAACTAATTGAATTACCCATTGACTTTGCTGCTCCAAGAGGCAATAACTGCTGAATAATGCTAAAATTCTTCACTATAGTCATATTGCTACTTGAGGCCTATAGTTGTGGTCATGTTATCGTCTTCTTGACCCCCTTGAAATCTCCTGGGAACAGGTATTGGAAAAGTACCATCACTCATGGCTCTTCCATGGTAATGTTTACTGATGTCATTAAGAAATATGCTGACATTACACTGGCAAACTTGTACTGTGCTGCAGCCACAGTTATTATTTCTTCTTGTAAACAGTCCTTGTAATAAGACCATAAGATTTCAATTGCTAGTATCTTCAACTCCAGCTGCTTTAACTATCGGCCAAGAAGTAGGTCAGCAGAATTTGCATGGTGGTTCTCCCAGTGACTCACAGGGGACTTCTGGCTTCCTTATTTGCTTATTTAAATCAGTAGGTAGTACAACTGGAAATGGTATGGAAAATGCTACAATTGGCAAGGGATAAGGGGGAACTGGTCATATGGCAAAGCAAGATTAAGGACTTTATTCCCACACATACCACAAACTGTCCATATTTGCCTTGTAGTGTTGACAGTCTACCTGCAGAGACAAGTTACTGGCCTGTAGAAATATGGCTTGGAAAAATTATCCTCTTGTTTGTTGACTAATCTGTTCTCTTTTTTTCTCTTTCTCTTTCTCTCTGTCAACCAGGGAGCCCAAGAATCCGAATTCCTGTCTTTACGTCCTCTGGGGCAGCTTATGGGAACTTCACTTGATTTATTTTGTCCCAGACTTCTTTGCACGGGATGACAATGATACCAGGAAAAAAACAGTTGATGATTGCTACTGCTTATTTCCTTTTTGTGTTTGCTAATTGCATGGTAAAACTGGGTGAGTGAGTGTCCTTTTACCTTTTGTCCTGATACAACTGCTGCTTTTCAGGGAATGGACATTATTTCTACTTTTGAAAGGGGTTGGGTCCCATCACTGTCATCAGAAGTTTCCCTCCTCTTAACTGTCTTCTGTAACATAGTTTTGAACCACCATTTGTCTTCAGTAATATAGTTTTGAACAATCAATCACTGGCAGTCCTCAAGCAGTGACTGAACTTGTCAGAGATGCTGTAGGCTGATCCTGCACTGAGCAGGGGGTTGGACTAGACGGCCCGTATGCCCCCTTCCAACTCTAGGATTCTGTGAGTTTCAGTTGTGTTACCTGACTTATTTACTGGTCTTAAGAATCCTAACCTGTTTGGGAATCATATTTAATTTGCTATTTGCTTGGAGTAATAATTGCCCCTGGGTGAGGAGCAAAATAGCAAATCCATTTTATACAAATGTCCTCACTGAGGTTAAGAATATATATATTCTTGGATGAATACCCAGTATTTAAAGAGGATCTATTCCCATCGTCTTGCTCCTAAGCAGCTAGCCACCTAATGACAATAAGAGGAGTTACGAAAGTCACACCATCTGGTTTCACTTTTCCAGGGCTTTTTTGGTAGAAAAAGCCCAGCAGGGACTCATTAGCATAATAGGCCACACCCAACAGCAGAAACTCATTAGCATATTAGGCCACACACCCAACAACACAGCTCATGAACATATTAGGCCACACCCCCATGTGACCAGAAGTTAGGTCATCCAGCCACACCCACCTTTTGCCTCTTATTCTGTTCACCTTGTTTGTTATCAAAACCCAGGGCTTTTTTTGTAGCAAGAATCCCTTTGCATGTTAGGCCACACACCCCTAATGTAGCCAATCCTAATAAGTTTCTGCTGTTGGGTGTGGCCTCTTATGCTAATGAGTTCCTGCTGGGTGTGGCCAACTTGGGAGCCAGCCAGAACTCCATACCTGTGCGTTCCCACCCAAAAATAGCCCTGCACTTTTCCATATTTCTGCCTCAAACAGAAATCTTGAAGGTGGTTAGAATGTGAGTAGCTGGGTGACTACAGTTCGAGTAAATAGCCTCTTCTTTGTAAGCTAGTGCTCATGAAGTTTTCTTGGCTGTTCTTCTGTGCAGGTGAATCCCTTCAGGTCTCTGTACAGCCTGCTTCTATTGTCCAGAAGCATGGTGGCTTGGTGCACCTGGGATGTGTGGTTGAACCCCTGAGAGTAAGTGTTACCTGGAGGCTGAATGGAAAGGAGCTGCCTGAATCAGATGAAGTTCTGGGGATCCACATAGATCAGAGACTTCTCACCATTACTGCCTTAAACAACCACACGGTGGGCCGATACCAGTGCATAGCCCGCGTGCCTGAAGGTGTTGTTGCCAGCGTTCCAGCCATGGTGACATTAGCAAGTGAGTCACTTTCCTCCTTTCCCTGAAACCATGTGTTCGTCAGCAAGCAGAATCAAACATGTATAGCATATCTCTAGCATCAGGCAGATGATCTAGTATTTTACATTTCTGTTTGCAGGAGATGTCACTCTTTTAAACTCTGGTCTGAGACTGGATGTCACAGTGTGTATTGGACTCTAGAGCTGCATATCAGTTTGACCACTAGACTTATTTTTCAGAATAGCTCTGTCTTTGCTGATGAAGGAACTCTCAGCTGATCTCACACTGGCACTTCCAAATAGGTCTGTACCTCCTATTGAGTAAATGGTGTATTCAAATTGGGATAGTGATTACATTGATGGGAAGCATTTCTGATAGAGCAAGCCCATGAGGCAAATGCTATTATCTGTATTAGTCATTGGACAGAGCTGCCTTGTAACCTGCCCCAGCTAGAAACAGGAGGGTTCCCTCTTCAGGGCACCACAGGGTGTGGAGAGAATAGAGAAAGGAGATATGCCCTGAAAAAAATGAAGGAGATACATTTGTTCAAAACAGAGCCTGGTTTTGTTTCAAAGCCAAGAATTATTGGCTTGTCATCAAGGTATTAATCAGAAGTGAAATGTTTAGGTTGGGCTGGGTTAGGAAAGGAGAAGCAGGGTGGAATGGAGCAGCAACTCCAAGGCTCCATGGGAGGGGTCTGCCATTGGGTTGCAGCCTTTGGGGATTTGGACTGAGCTCTGCACTTAGATTAAGTTTCGAAGAGTGCATTCCAGAGCAGAATGGGGGCTGTGTTTTGCTTGTGGATTCACAGAGGAGGGGAGTGAAAAGGTGGATGGGATTACTCAAGGCATGGTTTGCATTTAACAGAGAATGGGAAAGCAGTGTTTGCTCTGCCTCTTAGCACAGTTGTTTTTGCTTTTGGGCCTCCTTACTCTCAATTTCTTTAAAAAGTATATTTGAACAAAGCTGTCATTGTTCAGTTTACCTGGGTTATGCCATTCCCCTCCAAGTCCATGTCACAGCGAGCAAGGGGAGACAGGCTTCTGCTACGGAGAAAGCAGTAGATTTCTTGAATATTGATAGACCCATTCGTGGGCACAGCCTGGTTTTGTTGCTGTGGACATTTTATTCACAAGTTTTAATTAAAATAAAGAAGGCAGTAGCTATCGCTAGTAATGTTAGATAATGAGGAAACCAGTTACAGTGTCCACATTCAGAAGTGGATGTGGTCAGATAAGTGGCAGAATGCGAAAATAAAGTGGCGCTTTTATAGCTTGGATGATCGACCTTCATGAGAAAGCTTGACAATCATGTGTACATATCACCCTTCCTGTTACCCAGAAGTGCTCTGTCTGCAAGGGATTATCCTTGCCAGTATTTTTGACATGTTGGCAGATGAACCTTAGCCTTGGGACTTGGGACTTGCCTTTCGTGCAGAGTGCTGATAGGCACGCTTGAGCTGGTCCCTGCACAGAGAACTAGTTGAGACTAGCAGTTAATTCCTGCAGCACTCTTTC